TGCTTAATAAATGTGTTTATTGATTGATATACCCATAGTAGGCACTTATTAAATACTTGTTTATTGATTGCTATAACTGCAGTAAGTGATTAATGAATATATTTATAGATGGATATACCCATAGTAGGCACTTACTAAATACTTATTAATTAATATAACCGTAGTAGGTACTTATTAAATCCTTGCTTATTGATTAATGTAACCATAGTAGACACTTAATAAATATCTGTTCATTGATTGATAAACCCATAGTAGGTACTTAATGAATATATGTTTATAGATTGATATACCCGGAGTAGGCATTTACTAAATACTTCTTTATTAATTAATATAACCATAGTAGGTGCTTATTAAATACTTGTTTATTGATTAATATTACCATAGTAAGTGTTTATTAAATACTTGTTTGATTAATATAACCATAGTAAGTGCTTAGTAAATATATATTTATAGATTAATATACCAATAGTAGGTGCTTATTAAATACTTGTTTATTGATTAATATAACCAGAGTAGGCACTTAATAAATACTTGTTTATTGATTAATATAAGCATAGTAGATACTTAATGCATACTTGATTATTGATTGATATAACCACAGTAGGCGCTTAATAAATACTTTTAATCGATTGATGTAACTTTTCATTTATTGATTTGTACCTGTCTTTCTTTGCTGACCTCATTTCATGCTGATGTCTGCCATTTTATTTCTTTCCATACACTTTAGGTATTAGCCGCAAAAGTGAGCCAGATAGTTAGTGCTGTTGAGCCCAAACAGCTGCCCCACGCTCTCTGCAGCCCATGCATGAAGAATATAGATCCTTTAATTGCCATGAACTGCTTGAAAAAGCTGAATACATCTGGGCTGTCCTCTGTCCTAGTGACATTGACCAAGGCAGCGATGGCTCTGAAAATGGGCGATCTGAACACATGCAAGAATGAGGTGAAGTGCCATACGGAGGTAAGGTGCATAGCCAGGTAATTCTCTCTTGTAAAACATGGCAGAGTACGGGATCTAATGTTAGCTCCAGATCAGTTCCACAAGTGTTACAGCTTGGTCCCTGATTATTTCGAATAATGAATCCTCTAAAATGGTCCCATTAATGGAATTCATACTACTTATTTCTGTCGGGCTATAACCTGTTACCACATTTAACATAATCATAACTTTAGGTAGTGCGAATTTGAGTACAAGCAACCACGTCGTGGGATTCGTTACATTAATCAGGACCCAGCCATATTAAACACCTATTTGGTTTCTAATACAAGTTAAAAAAAAAAGCCAAACCAAACCAGAATCATTAGCATTTAGAGACAAGTGATGTTAGAAGTCATCTTATCTAATTCTCTCATTTTAGAAGAAACAGGTGAAGCCAAAAAAGTGAAGTGATTTATGTGGTTTAAGTTAAGTGTTTTATAGTACCTCGAATTCTAGCCTTGGATTCAGGAAGACCCGAGCTTCAGTCCTCCCTCTGACGCTTAGCTGTGTGATCGTGGGCAAACCACTTAAAGACTCTGAATCTAAATTACCTCATCTGTAAAACTAGCACCTCATTTTCAGGGTTCTCATAAGGCCAAATGAGATAATGTATATAAAGGGCTTTGCAAACATTAAATCCACCTAGATCGGTGTCATTTATTGTTATCATTATTTTTATCCAAGACCACATGGGAGAGTAAGTTGCAGCATCAGGGTTTGAACTCCTATCCTTAAGGAACTTATTATCTATTTGATTTATTATCTATATATTAGGCTTATTATCACCAGGGGGAGACAGAAATGCTAGAAGAAACTGGAGAAAGAAGAGGCTGAGCTGGAGGGGGTGAGTGAGGGCAGTTCAGGGAAGCTTTCCCAGGACATTATGGTATTCTCTGAGACAGAGGGGAGGAAAAAGTGTATTCCGGGCATGGGGGATAGCCCAGCAAACCAAGGAAAATGGGCTGTTTATTGCTGTGTGGGAGGAGAGGCAAGAAGGCCAACTTGACTGGACCTTAGAGTTCATGCAGAGGAGGTTTTTTCGTTTTGTTTTGTTTTGTTTTGTTTTGGCTAGGCAATGGGGTTAAGTGACTTGCCCAGGGTCACACAGCTAGTAAGTGTTATGTTTCTGAGGCTCGATTTGAACTCAGGTCCTCCTGAATCTAGGGCCGGTGCTCTATCCACTGCACCACCCAGCTGCCCCTTCAAAGGAGGTTTTTAAAAGCCAAACAGAGGAGCTGACATTTGATCCCAGGGGCAGTCGGGAACCACTGGAGTTTATTGTGTCTGGACTCGGGACGTGGTCATTTCTGTGCTTAAGGAGAATTGTGTAGCCGCTGTGTGTGGGAGGGTGGATGGAAGAGGGGAGAGACGTGAGGCACTGACATGATTGCAGTAACCCAGGGAGAAGTGATGAGGATCTGGGCTAAGGCAGTCCCAGTGTGAAAAGTGAACAGGGAGGGGACAGATGTGAAGGTAAAAATGGTAAGATTTGTTCCCTATACAGGCCTAGGAGGAGATCTTAGGGCCTTTGACAAGAAAGAAGAGATTTTGGAAGAAAAAGAGTAAGTTTGGGAGGAGAAGATAATGAATTCTCATTTGCATATGTCGAATCCAAGATTTCTCTAGGATATCTAGTTTGAAATGTCCAGAGGGCAATTGGAGCTCTGGAGAGAACCTGAGACTAGATATCTTTTGCATGGAGATAATAATTAAACCCACTAGAAATAAGTAGTATTAGAGAACAAAGCTATAGAATAGATAACTGATAATTGAACTTTAGAATCAAAATGTGTTTGGCACTTTCCCTTTCTAGAGGGTGTGGGTGGGAAGAGGGTAGGGAGTGTTGCATACGCTATCAGAAGTAGGAGTGGCCATTGGTCATTTTTGCTTAAGGAAGTTTCTTTGTGACAAGGGATGATTCTTTGAGAGGCAGGCAAATATATGGGGAATTAGCATCAAGAAATATATATAAATATATATATGTATGTGTATGTGTGTGTATATATGTGTATATGTACACATATATACACATATACATACATACATATGTGTGTGTATGTGTGTGTGTGTGTGTGTGGATAAAATTTGTTTGGAACTGAATGTAGTGGCACAATAGAGGCCCCTGGATGGTGCAGTAAATGATAGATTTGGAATCCAGAAGACTTGAGTTCGAATCCTCCCTCAGATAAGTACTAGCTGTGTGACCCTGGACAAGTCACTTAATCTCTATTTGCCTCAGTTTCCTCCTTTATAAACTGGGGATAATAATAATATCTCCCTCCCAGGGTAGTATTGAGGACCAAATAAGATATTTGTAAACCTTATAACACTTTGCAAACCTTATAACACTATATAAATGCTAGCTGCTATAATTAGTAACAGTAATGGTAGTATTGTTAACATCATCATTATTTTCATATACCTCTCTGTAATCCCTGCTCGCTAATAGGCAGAAGCTGGTAGGTGATGTGCTTGGGAGTTCTGAGCTTCGGTGAACTCAGTTGTTCAGTTTTCCTCACTAAATCCGGCATCATAATATGAGTCCCAGGGAGCAGGAAGCCACCATACTGTGTAAGGAGGAGCATACTTGCCCAGGTCAGGAGCAGAGTAGGTCAGACCTTGTGTGCCCACCGGCAGGGGGGTCAGGGCCATAAGTGGCCACCACACTTCTAGCTTGGGTTAGATAGGGAACCCCAATCTCAAGGGGGAAAAAGTGTCTTGGAGTTTTGAGAGCCTGAAGAGGTCAGACTTGTGTTTTTCTAACGTGGGGTTTTTTCTTCTCTGAAGATGGAGTTGGTGTGTGGCTTTATTTTGGAACCCCGACTGTTGATCCAACAGAAAAAGGGGCAGGTTATACCAACAGAGTTCGCAGCTCACCTCAAGGAGACTCAGCCAGGATTGCTCGTGGCTGCCATACTGGGCTTACAGAAAAACAGCAAAATGGAAACAGAAGAAGCCGACACCTTCTTCAAGGTCTGTCCTTTGGGAAATGGAGAAAGTCCATGTGTCTTGTCAGAATCTGGGCCAATGCGGACCACCCAAAGTAACTTCTTCAAATATCCCTCGTTCTTGTAGAAGCCATTGAAAAGAAACCTGTACATTGGGCAGACTTTGTACCCAAGGAGGGTTTATGAATGCACCTGGGAGTGTGTTTCCAGTGAACATTCCAGTTTTCTTTACTGTTAGATTGTGTTTGACCCTGCCCTGAAATGGTCTTCTGTTCTCCAACATGGATAATCAGTTGGGTGCTTGGGGGTCTGTGCTGTTGATCCTATAGAAATTAAACTGATGTTTTTGTTTGGATCTTTATTTTGGTGTTTTCAAGGTGCTTTGCGGCAAGGATGAAGATGTCATTCCTCAGCTCTTGGTAGACTTCTGGGAAGCCCAATTGGTAGCATCCGTCCCTGAGATAGTACTCCAGGAACTTTTCTTCAAGCTTTTGTCTCAGTATATCTGGAGACTCTCCCAGAGACAGCCCCCAGACACCAAACCACTGAGAAATCCAGAAGACCTGGTAAAATGACTGGGAATGCAGGGGTACTCATTGTAGGCTAGAATTTAGCTAAAGTCTCCCAAAGCTGAATGGTGGAGGATCAGAACTTTCTCTCCTTATCAACTGTCTTGCTTAATCCACAGAAAACCCAGGAAAAGGATAGAAGCCACCTTCAGGGCTCCTCTGGGTCTGCTGTCAGGACACCTAGAGCAGCTATAGCGGCTACTGGAATTTTTAATATCTAGGTCTCCTCCAGAACATTCCCTACAGGGGTGTTGGTCCCATGGGAGCCGTGGCAACCAGAGAAGGGAATTGTCTCAAGAAGAGCCCTAGAGGATGAGGGTCCCAGGACATAAGCAGAGCATAGCACTTGGAAAAACAGCATCCTGAGGCTTGCCTAAGATTTGGAGAGCTCGAGAGGTTGTGCATGGGGCAGCTAGACAGAGTATTGGCCCTGGAGGTAGGAAGACCTGAGTTAAAGTCTGGCTTCCAACACCCTGGTCAAGTCACTTAATTCTGTTTGCCTCAGTTTCCTCATCTGTAAAAATGGGGATAATAATAACCCCTCCCTCCCAAGGTAGTTTTGAAGATCAAATGAGATAATATTTCTGAAGTGTTTTACAAACCTTAAAGCGATATAGTAAATGCTAGCTATTGGCTTTTATTGTCTTAATGGGCTCTGTGCGTGTGTGTTGAATGATGCCCTTCCATTAAGAGCACGCCTTTTCCATTGATTGCAAAAATGGAGGGAGAGAGAGAGATTGCAAGAGATGTCCTGCCGCAGCTGGTGATGCCTATCTCCCCCACCATAGTTGTCGGAGTCAGATAATTAGACATCATTTGTAAAGTGCTTTGAAAGCCATAAGACACTTTGTAAATTCAACTGAATACTTGGCAACTTTATTGCTAATGGACTACCACCGAAAAATAGAATTTTGGAAAAATGTGTCCTGTATAAAAATATAGATGAAATAGGTAAACGTGTATGTATGTGTATGTGTAGGTATATATGTATATCTACATATCTGTGTATAGATATGTCTATACGTGTGTATATAAATGTATACACAGATCTGCAGATGGATATATACATCTACACACACACACACACACACACACATCCACACACATCCACACACATCCACACACATCCACACACATCCACACACATACATCGATCTACATCTGTTTCAATGATATTACTGTTAACACTTTGGAATGGATTTAGCTGATTTTAAATGTCTGCTTTGTCCCAGGCACCGAGCTCAGCTCAGTGAGAATACAAGGACAAAAAAATCTCAGCCCATTCCTGCTCTCCGGGAGCTCATATCCTAGCAGGAGAGATGGCATGGATGCAGAAAAGAACATACAGAGGCACTATTGCATTTTTTCACTAAAACTGAATTGTCCTCAGTCTTTATGCATGCCTCTTTACAGTCACAAAAGAGAGAGCAAATCATGAAATGCCAGAAACCGTTTAAGGCCAATTTATGTAACAAAAAGCAGTAAGTCATATTAACTGGGTAGCATTTTAAACAAATTTTATGTAAAGTTTATTGAGACATTGATAACTTCAAAACTAATATACATTTTAAATTGTTGCCTAAGAAAATGTTAACTTAATGGCAATACAGTTGGATTCTTTAAAAAGGTAGCATGGTGCTTATACATGGTAAGAAAACACTTGTTAGAGCAGAATAAAAATCATTTTGTGAGGTGGTTTGTTTGTTTTTTTCTGTCTTAGTGGGAAATTTATTTTCCTTTTCAGATCAACTCCTGCAGTCATTATGGTTTAATTTATCCCTGGGTTAACTTCTTAATATCATCAGACTCCTTACATGATCAAAATTATGCAGAAGACCTTTCTAAATTACAGGTAATTATAGCATTTCTTTTCTTATGAAGGTACATTCTATAGTGAATAACTTGGTTGGACAGAGATCTGTGGCCATGGCCAGCAGTCTGAGAATGTAGTCCTACTTTTCAGCTTGCGCTTCCTAATTTGATAATTTGTCTTTATGACTTTTGCTGTTCTATGCTTCACACGTCTAACCAGCACAACAGTTGTTGCCGAAACTCTTCCTTTGGAGGAACAAAGATCAAAACATCAGTCCATTCAAGGCTTCTTAGGAAATATGCGTATTTAAATGAACACTAATAGAAATCAGAATCTACCTTTAATTCTGTCACTGGCTGGAGCCCAACAAATAGGTGGAAAGTAGAACAGGTTACTTACTCAGTGTCCTTAGGATTTGATTTCACAGACATATGCTGTTAACCGTCTACTGTGTATAAAAGCACTGTTCTGGGGACAAAAGGAGAAATGGGCCTTGCCCTCAAAGAGCTTACATTCTTCTGGATGGATGACCTAGGTTTAACACCAGGGACTACGGAACCACCACATTTGGAGTGTCCAAATTCTTTTCAATTCAATAAACATTTATTAAGTGCCTACTGTGTGCCAGGCACTTTGCTAAGTGCTGAGGATACAAAAAGAGGCAAAAGATAGCCCCTGCCTTCAAGGAGCTTCTAATCTAAACACTTCTCTCTCTGTTGTAAAGCATGATGGGACTGTTTCCCCGGAGTAGAGGTGGAGAGAGGTTTGGGGTTGGCACGCACCAGCTACAGTATGGTCTGAAGATGGCTGTAGCGCAGGGTGGTAGGTCCGAAATCTCACCAGTCGGGAGATCAGGGTCCCAGGGCAAGAGCTGGAGTGGTCGCAGGATTGGAGTTGGTAGGCAGAGCGAGGATCATGGTGGTGTGACGTGAAGATGTCTGGAGTGTGTGGGGTCCTAGTGCAAGAAGGATTCCCAGTATATTTAAAGGCCCTCTGGATGCCTGTTTGCAGATGGCATTGCCTTGATTAAATCAAACTTCAAATTGGTATGATGCAATCCATAAATGTTGATCAGAGATAGAGCTGACAATCCATAGAGGGAAAATTAGGTAACTGGTAATGCCTGTTGTCCAGAGTGTAATGTGCAGTTGGATGGCCTATTGCTTGAGTGATATATAGTAAATCTATATTAGGTTACAAGGAAATATAATTAGAGAATATATTAAATGCTACAAGCCCTTTGGATTGTGTTTTATATCTATGCGTTTTATTTCCCTTAAAATAATTTTTGACCCTTTAAAGCCTGTCCCTTATAAATATGTATGTGCACACACCATATACACATATGTGTACATACACATATACATAGATGCACACACATATGTCTACATATACACATTGTGTGTGGGGCATCTAGGTGGTGTAATGGATAGAGCACCACGCCTGGAGTCGGTAAGATCTGAATTCAAATGTGACCTCAAACGCTTGGTAGCTTGGTAATCCTGGGCAAGTCACTTAACTCCTATTTGCCTCAGCTTCCTCATCTGTAAAATGGGGAGACACTGGAGAAGGGAATGGCAAACCACTCCAATGTCTTCGCCAAGAAAACTCCACGGACTAAATTCCATGGGGTCACATAGAGTCAGACATGACTGAGCTACAACACATGCATGTAAAGAGAGAGTGTGGTCTGGGTTGTTGGAGGGGATGCTGACACTTTGATTCTGAGATTGACTAAGGGGGCAGAGAAGGTGAAATATGTTGTATTATGTTTAAATGACCTGTCATCCGGAGGGGACTGTTGATTAGGGTTTGGTTTGATGTCAAACCATTGCTTATAACTAAGTCATTATATAGCTAAGCATTATTCTATCTAGACATCTTTAGGGGCCTCCAGGCCACCTTGGCCTCCAAGAAGGGCCGTGCTAAGAGGAATCCAGACACAAAGTTGCGTAACTCTTTCTTAAAATAGATCTTGGGACCAGATGAGAGAAAACCTCTTACTATTCCCTGTTAGGTACTAACCTTATTCTCAGACTTGTCCCATAATCAGTAGCTGGAAAAAGACTGTTAGGAGTACTAGGAGTGGATATTTCATATCTTTTATCCTCCTATGAGTCTGAGACGATCCTGTAAGTAAGAGGATGTTAAAAGAGAGAAAAAAAATTAGAATTTGTTCTTTGAAGAAAAGCTTCTTTGTTGGTAGTCAGAGGGGAGATAGGGACAAATTTGATAGTAGAAACAATAGTCTTAATTTTTTTTTTAATGATTTAATGGATCAAAGATAAATGGATCATCATCATTATCATAAATTAACATTTCTATAGTGTTCACTGTATGCCAACCAATGTGCTAAATGCTTTACAAATATTTCATTTGATCCTCACCACCCTGGAAGGTAGGTGCTATTATTATCCCCATTTTCCATATGAGGAAACTGAGACAGAAACATGACTTGCCCATGGTCACTCAGCTAGGAAGTGTCTTAAGCCTTGAATACTAAACACAATACTACCACCCAGTTTCTGCTTTATACAAAATATGTGCATACTTTCTCCCTCATTAGAATATGAACTTTTTGAGGGCAGGGATGGCTTCATTTTTTGTCTTTAAATCCCCAGTGCTTAATGTGGTGCTTGTCTAGTCCTTGGTAAATGCTTGGTGATTAAATTGATAACCACTGAGATTAGGGGCCAGTGGAATGCTCTTTGAATGTTTATATTTTTGCATTCCCAGCTTAGCACGGAGCCTTGTCCATAGTAGGCGCCCAACAATTGCCGATTCCATTTCCTTCGTTTGCACAGGCAGTATTTCACACCTGGAATGCCCTCCCTCCTACACCTTCCCTGTAGAATCCTTTCTTTCCTCCTCACTTTAGCTCCGGGGCCATCTCCTGTGGGGGCCTTTCCTCATCCACTACCTAGTACTTGGTGTTTGCTCCCTCTTCACATGACTGTGTATTTACTTATCTCCTCATGTATTATTTGCTCCAGGAAAAAGCCAGCCCTTCAAGGGAGCTTTACATCTCAGTATCCTCATTGCGCTTAGCTTGGCACAACACATAAAAATCACTGAATAAATGCTTATTGAATTGAATTGATTAAATTTTTGGTGAAATGCCCAAGAAAGAGAGCCCTCTAATTGAATCTATAAAATTTCAGCAGCCTTCTTTTTGAAATAACCTGTTCTACAACCTGTTTTGTTATTTTTTTTTTTTTTTTAGCATTTATTAGATTAGTGATTTTTAGATATTACTTAGCACTTGTTTGCTTAATTCAAACAGGTCCACACTTAATGAATCAAGATTAGTTGAGTTAATAAAATGCATAATAGTGGATAAAGAATTGTCCTTGGAACCAAGAAGACCTGGGTTCTAATTTTGTTTCCGATGTCTACTGGCTTTGTGACTATGGATGAGTCCCTTTTATTCTCTCTGAGCCTGAAGCCACTTTCCACCACCATAAGGGGTTGGTGAACTCTACCGAGTGCTTGGACAGGAGAGTTCCCACCCCTACTCAATCACAGGTCTTTGACACACTGACATAGGCGCCATCTTTTCTTGACCATGTAAATTTAAGCAACACTGAGAACTGTCTCCAGTTCCTTAGATTGGTGTGTTCTGCCTCCATTAACCCGTTTACTTTTCTGCCCCCAGTCTCTGATATGTGGTCCTTCATTTGACGTAGCTTCCGTTTTGCCTTTCTTGGAACCGTTGTCGGAGGACACAAGTGCGGGCCTCAGCGTCCACATCCTCTGTCTCACCCGCCTGAAAGAGCATGAGCAGGCCATAAACTCGCTGCTGGACAGATGCCCTGAGGCCGTCATCCCCTATGCCCACCATGAACTGAAGGAAGAAGGCCCTCGGGTAGGCTTGTAGGCTACCTTTTTTTCTTCATCTCTCTTAGCCTGACTTCACATTCATTGACTCATCTCTCATGTTGTATAATTGGGGATAGTCTGTTTATAGAGTTGATTTTTTTTTAGGGGCGTGGAAGAAGTCAGCATCTCCAATTCAGTTCCACAAAACTTTTTAAAGTTTTTATCTATGCCTTTTATTTTTATATCACCTTCATTTCTGAATAGATCACCCTCTTTCCAGTTTCCCCTTATAACAAAGATTCAAAAACAACAAAAAAATTTGCAGCAAAGGAGAACTGATATATTGACTAAATTTGATGACATATTAGCACATTTTTATTTAAGTACTTGCTTTATGCAGTATACTGCACTAGGTACTCATGGAGGGACAGACCGAGGTGGGACGTACAGTGGAAAGAGTTTGGTTTGGGGCTTGGAGGACCTGGGTTCAGATCTCACCTCTTATGCTGCTAAGCTGTGTCACTTTGAGAAAGTCACCCTTGGCCTCAGTTTCCTCATTTGTAAAATGAGGGGGTTGTAGACTAGATACTGAGGTCTCTCTACATTTTGATCTAAGACAAAGTTCTTTTTATTTCAGGGGCTTATAATTTAGTGGGGGGAAGAAAAGATATGTAGACAAATAATAGTAGTACAGGTTAGAATATGATTACTGAGGATAAAAAAGAAGTTCTCAGAATTCAGAGGCAGGGGAGATCACTTTTGTCGTAAGAATTAGGGGGGAGGCTTCATGGAAATGGTGGCATTTGAACTGTGAAGGATGAGTAAGAAATCTCAGTATCAGGAGGTTAGGGGAGGGGGCGAAGCATCCCAGGTGGACAGAATAGTTTGAGCTCTAAGACAAGAAGGTAGCAAGTTTTCAAGGTGAGAAGCCCATTTTGGTTGGGTCATATATAATATAGAGCCATTTCCCAAGGAGCAATCTGGGGGCCTTTGGGATAGCCAAGACCCTTTCAGAAGGTTTGCAGGGTCAAAACTATTTTTTGTTAATGAGAAAATATTTTAATTTCTGGCACAATAAATATCGATAGATACAACCCGCACAAATAAAACCTCTTGGGAAAGGTAGTCCTTAACCATTTTTAAGTTTGTAAAGAAGTCCAAAAGAACCATTGGAATATAGAGTAAAGCAAAGATAAGTTACAATCACAAATAAAATAATATAACTTCCATACTTTACAAAAGCCCTGTGATGCCTGAGTATGTCAGTTAGAAAGCATTTATTGAGCACTTACTGTTTGTTAGGGACTGTGGAATACAAGCTCTGGGGATATAATAAAGAGAGAAATATGGCCCCCACCCTCAAGGAACTCCTGTTGTAATGGAGGAGATAATATGCCAAAAAGTGAATAAGCAAGATAGATATGGGGTAAATGGAAGGTGATCCCGGAGAAAAGGCATGGGGATGGGGATGGGGCTGGGGCTGAGGCTGGGGCTGGGGCTGAGGCTGGCGCTGGGGCTGGGGCTGGGGCTGGGACTGAGATAGAGGTAAACTAGGAAAGACTTCCTGCAGAAGGAGGAATTTGAGCTGAATCTTAAAGGAATCCAGGACATGGGCATGAGGAGAGCATTCCAGGCATTTAGTACAACCATTAGCAAATGCATGAGATGGAAAGTCTTGTAGAAGGAATTAAGAAAGCCTTTGTCACTGGATGGTCATAGGGTATGTGGAGAAGTAAAGTGTACAGAGACTGGAAAGGTAAAAAGAGATCTGGTTGTGAAGAGTTTTAAATACCAAAACGAGGGTTTTGTACTTGGTTCTGGAAGAACTGGATGTGACAAGGAGTCCCTAGAACTCTTTAGGGGACAGAAGCGGTCTCGTGGTCAGACCTTGGTTACCCAGTATCCAGCCAAGACTAGACATGGTATTATGTCCAGCTCTTTGTTTATGCTTTCCCATGCTTCCTCCTAAGTGCCTGACCAAATCAAATTCTTGGAAGTCAGGGAGAGTACAACCAGGACTTTTGGTCATAGTACATAATGATGGAAAATTTTCAGTGGAATCGTGTAATACATATTTTCCCTTGAAGGAATTTTACACTTGAAAGCTGGTCCCTTGTTTCAGTGCTATTTTCAGTACCTAATTCTAAAGTAAGTTTCTTTTTTTCATGGGACGCTAGAGGGTGCTAATGTGACGTGTCTTCACTTCTGGTTGAAAACATACCACTTTCAGATCCCCTCTGTGAACACGTGTGTAGTGCATTCACTACCAGATTTTCAAGTCACGCAGTTGTGTGTACATATACATACATATCACACATGTATGCACACACACATATGTATATTCACGTGTGTGTGTGTATACACATACGTATAAATATACATATAAAACCATGGCTTATAAACCTCAATTCAGGTAGATGAGTATTTCTTCTTAAAGACTGACTTCTGAGACAAATTCCTTTGGAATATATTTTTGCCTTCTCATTCGGAGACTCTCCTTGTCCTTAGCCTTTGTTCTTTCATCTGTACATCTGTTGTTAGCACACTTACTGGTTTTCATTAGGCCCTTCTCATAATGTGAATTCTTCCTTTGCCCAGGCTTTATGGTGGAAAAAACTGCTCCCTGACCTTTGCCAACGAATAAGACAGGGTGGGGAGAAGTATGAAGTGCACCTCTCGTCTTTGAAAGGTAAAGAATCTACTTTTACTGAAACATAAAGTAATGGAGGATAATTTTGGATGCAAGGATTTGCTGAGATGAGTGTGTGTATGTATGTGCACAAGTGTGTGGGTATATATGTGGTTTTTGTATGTGTGTGTGTGTCATGAGAAGTGTTCTTAGTGTCCAGAGCCTCCATTTAAAGTCCTGCTGTCTGGATTGGCCTATGGTTAAGCTATAATTGACAGAGGTGACTTCATGTTTGACCACTAATTGACCTGATGGTATATGAGGAAGTTCCTGTGTACCAAGTAACTGGCTTGGTCAGCTACATTTAGACAGGGAATGCAAGCTGAGCAAACTTCATCTAAGCCACGTAGGCAGTGTTAGCAGACTTTCCCAATCACAGTGCCCTTGTGGCCAGTCGATAAGAAGGGTATCACAGTCCAGACCACCCTCTGACTAGTGATTGCGTCTAAGGTCTCCCTCCTACTCAGACCTCGTGAATCTGCCCAGCAACAATGACCAGATAGAAGGGCAGAGACCCAGAGATCTGGGTGCTTAGTTGTGGTACACAACCCACTTTAGACCCAAGTCACCTTTCTTCATGTATCTTTGGGAGTGTAGGAATGGGGAGCCGCACACTTGTATTCCCACAAGTAAAAGACTGCTTGGCTTATCACCCTTGAGAGCTTATGTTCCTTCTTGGTACCCTCTCACCCACAATTTCCTCACACCTACTTTGTTGGCACCAAGGTAACCTTGGTCCCTGGAAAGCTTGAGCATAGACAGAGTAACAGCCTAAACATCTGCCATCTCAGGACTAGAAGATCCTCACCTGGCTGACCACAGGGTGATGAATTTCTACCAATCCTTGAAGACCACTTACTAAATCAGAGAGAGGTTGAGATCTGCCCTGGTGGAGGGAGAACCCTTCATGGAAGAAATTTTGGAGTTCTTAACCTTTTTTGTGGCATGGCAGTCTGCGAAAGCCAATGGACCTCTTCTCAGAATATTGTTTGTAAATGCATAAAACAAAATATATAAAATTACAAAGGAAGCCAACTATATTGAAATATAGTTATCAAAATATCTTTTTAAAAGTTCATAGACCATAGATGGACATTTAAACCACATGCTTCACTTAACTCTAGTCTAATGTTATCATTTTCATGACAAATAGAGTGGCCACTAAGGGATCATTTCATACTTGTCTTTGCATCTCCTTAGTACAATGTAATACTATGCATAGTAGGTGCTTAATAAAACCTTTACTAATGGATATGTTTTACTGATAAGTTTTTAGTTGAATGGATGAGTGAATGAATACATTTTATTGAAATAGTTAATAATGCAGGATGTTTCCATCAATGGGGTTTTTGTGTGCTATACTTTACCCTGAAATGATCTATACCCATGAACATCCATCCCATCCTTACCTTCTCCTTAGTCAACCCCAGCAGTTTTGGGTTATTTTCTGCATTTCCCAAGTGCTGGACTCTGGAAGCATAATTCACCCATGTCAATAGAGATTCCTGTTTTTGGTCAGGTCAGCAAACAGATCTGCTTGGAACCAATGATTACTTGGTCCCAAGAGCCAGGAGAGGTGGTTTGGGGAATGAGAGGGATTCCTCTCCCTTACTTTGAGCCTCTGCTTCTGACCTAGAGTGCTAGTCTTGAAGGTCCCTGCTTTTATGGGATAAGTGAGCTGGTTGTGATAAGTAAGCTGGTTCCGTATTCATAGTCAGCTCATTAAAAAAAAACCCAAAAAAACAAAAAACACCTTACCAATGCCCAAGCTCCTTCCTGGATTAAAACGTCTCCCTTATTGTTGACCAGATAAATCCCTTAGGGAGATCCTTAAGGTAGACCTTTACTATAATTACTTTTATTTGTAATTGCCTTTATGTGCAGAGAGGAGAGAACAGAAGGAATTTCAGAAAGGGACCCAAAAAAGTAGGGCAGTGTTGCTACTACCTTGTTAAATTTAATATATCCTTTAAAAAACAACGACAACAAAATATATGTAGTAAAGATTGATGGTTTCATAAAGGATGCTATATTTTTCCCCTTTGTATATGGAAATGTTCATGTTTGTCAATTTTATAATTAAAAATTTTTTAAATATGTGTAGAGGGTATGAGAATAGAAGAAACACAATGGAGCTTTCTACTATTCAGTATCGTTTCTGAGCTATCACTTTCAGGGTAGAGGGAAAAAACTTGATAAACCTATTTGAAGAACCTTCTTTTCAGATGTAATTAAAGGAAGTGGCTTCCTGTGCTATTGATAACCAGCGTTTGACAAAGGAAGATAGTTTTACCTTTGGATCACAGTGCTGGGAACAGTTTGATTGGGAGTTTAGATTTGGATCATCGGTTTGACTAATGTAGAGTTTTCTGTTGAAGAATCCCTAACCCAGCTGTAGCTCAGGCAGCGTATTTGTCAGCTGTGTTCTGAGAATTAGGGGCAGTCATAAAAATACTTGGAAGAGTTTTAGCAAAGCATCATTAGGGTTCATGAGTAGAGTCAACTACCTAGAATTATAATTATAATTCTAATTCCTCTTCTTATGTCTAATAATCTCTTCTTTCCCCAGAAGAGGGCAACCTAAGTCTCTTGCAATTATAAAACTGAAAATTTTTAGAGTGACCTTTGAGGGAAAAATTATTATGTTAAGTAAATGATTATTAATAGTTATAGGTATTACTCATTTCAAATGACACAAATCCTCTTGCAATTTTGAGAAATGTATGTTGTTTTAAGAGGTTTTTAAAAAATGTTATGTTGTTTTTAGGTTTATTTCAATTAAGAAAATGTTAAAATATTTAAATATTAATTTAAAATATTAAAATATTAATTTAAAAATTAAACATTAAAAATATGTGTATACACATATGCATACATAAAGAAGAGATTTAGGGATCTGCTATCTAAAGGTTTCTCATTCTGGCAACTAACTTTGATAAATTAATTGCTATTATGAACAAACTCAAACACTTTGAATATAAAGGTAATGGGCCATAATTGAAAGAGGAAGATGGCCAGCTAGCTCGATAGCAAGCCTCAGATACCAGGCTTTCCAGAATAGCCTTTATTCTTATTGACCTTTCCATCACAAGTCTCAAATTCTAACACGTGGATTTTTTCTTTTCACTAGAAACGTTATCTGTTGTTGCCACCGAGTTGGAACTAAGGGATTTCTTGAATGTCCTACCAGAAGATGGAACAGTAGCATTCTTCCTACCATATCTTCTTTATAGCAGTAGAAAAAAATCCATAACTTGAATACAACAGCAAGGTATTATGGATGGGGAAAAAAATGCCACCGAAGTATGGAGAACCCAACAGAAAATTAAGCAATCAAATGAATGGGTCTCAAGTAGAGAAATTGCAAATAAAGGACTGTATGGACTCAATTTTCCTACTAACTATATGTATTCCAGACACTTGCAGGATTTAAGTGGCGATACTAGTCTCTAAATTTTTAGTGACTTAAACCAGTTAAGTTTGTAGCGTGAAAAAGCTTTAAGAAAGAGGAATACTGTAAAGAAGCCATATTTCAATAACGCCAGAGGACTGATTTTTATGGACAGAACTGTTACCATCTTGAACTCACAGCTGGAAGCATGACAATCTTTTTTAGCCTCAGGAATGCATAAAGAAAACTTTTTTTTTTTTTTACAACAATATTGAAAATTCCTGGTTTTCCAGAGCTTCATTGTTTTCCATCATGTTCTGAGACAGATTGTAGGAAAGGAGGAAACTCTGTGCAGGCCTCAAATTTCCGGACTACTATTTTTTCTAATTCTCTTACAAGTTGTGAAGAAGAATATAAAGTTTTGTGGCCATCTAAGTTTGCCAACCTCTTTTCTTTGAGAAATGGGAGATAGTATCATCAGTTTCTAGTTGAGTGTCAATTAAAGAGCTTACAAAGCCACCGGCCATCTCATCTGGCTGGTCACATGCGGTTTGTTGATATGTTTTCATCGAAGGCTTTTAGTGACAGAATCCATGTAAAATAAATAAATACTGTATAAACAAGTGTGTCTTCTTTCCTAGCATCTCTTTATAAAGTGAAAAGGTGATGATCTCTCAGATTTACATATCCTGACTTGCTTTTGAGATAACCAGTTTGAAAATGTCCTACTCATGAATATTTCATCTTCATGGCTGCTCTAAGGAAACCCCTCTTCTTTCCTCATAATTCAGTCTTGGTCCCTCTCTGTTCATCCTACAGTCTAAGTTTATAGGATTATGGGAGATACTGGCTACTATTACAAGATCACAAGGTGGTGTCAGTCAGGGTCCAGAATCAGGAGACCTGGGTCCTATTCCTGGCTTCTTCACTTACTAGCTCCTTAGGTCAGGCAAATCCAAATCGTTAAACCTCTGCCAGCCTCAGTTTCCTCAAATATAAAATGTGGATGATAATAGCACCTATCTCCCATGGTGGTTGTGAGGATCAAATGAGATGTTTATAAAGCACTTAGCACAGTGCCTGGCACTTATGTATACTTAATAAATCCTTTCCCACCTTTCTTCCTTCAGCACCTGTTCGGAAGGGGCATTGCTGTGTGTGTATGCCCTAAGACTTCAGTGGAGAAAATGGCTAGGCTTCCCTGTAAAATCGTTTCTTGTTTTTGCTCTTCTCCAGTCATGAATGCTTTTTTGACCCCGTCTTAGACATGCAGAGTGCTATCTGGCCATGGCTTTGCTTACTCCACACCAGGATGTCCAGTTGGATCAGTAAGACCAGTAAGAACTAGATGATAGAGACCTAGCAGAGAGCTCATAGTATGGCAGAGTCAAGAATGTAAGCTGAGTAATGATTACTGCCTTTTTGGATGAAAATCCAAGAAACATTTTGACTACTAATGAATATAATTTGCTGAACCCTCTAAAATGATGTATATTATTGCCTATGTGGTAATTATAACCCATTTTGCTTCCCCATCTTATCTCCAAATTTCTAATTCCATCATTTCCATTATATTTAATACACTATTAATCATATATAATTATCTTTTGACCTATCCAAAAAATGTCACTTCTCAAAAAATGCACAAGGCCTTGGTGGTTGGGTTTTTGAAATTTTTTTTTAATGCACGTAAATATACCAAGTCCACATTTCTATTCTGTATTTTAAATTCTGTAGAGCTGCTATTGCAATTTTAGCATCATTTGATTTCCTTCAGCCAGACTTTGTCTCTATAGGAAAAAAAGTTCAAAGAACATTATTAAAATATTCTAAATTTACATTTGAAATGTAAAGTTAGATCATGAGGTTTCCAAATGAATGTATTCAAACATGGTAATTTTTTAAAAGGTTTAAAGGCTCTTTTTTAAGTCCAGCCCTCATGAAATCCTTTAAGAGAAAAATAAAAAGTTTTCCCATATTCTGTTTCTTTGCTCGTCATAATGTTTTTTTTACCCCTAACACCACTTATTTTCTAGAGTTATAAAGAAATGGTGTATTTATTTATTACTTTTATTAAGTGATCTCTTGATGATTCAGTACTACATTTTTAAAAGTGCTGCATTAGAGGGGCCAGAGCCAAGATGGTAGAGTAAAGCCAGCATTTTTGCCAAGCTCTCCCAGCACACCCCCTCTAAAACAGCTTAAAAGTGCTGTGTTGGGTACTAAGAATTGCATAGAAATGCAGAATATGTAGGTAGCCCTCTGTATGTGATGGGAGACAAAAGAGAGGAAATGCATAAATTTCTCAAAATCCAAAGGTCATATTTTCTCTTCTTTATCCTATTGCTTTCCCTTCTCCATCCTCCACTTCCGCCTACCCCCATCCCCATTCCCTTGTAAGAGCTAGTTTGTTTTCATTTTTCCTGATGAGCGTCTTGTGTATTTCTAGAAACCACAATACTCTGAAAATAAGTAAAGTTCTAAAAAGAAACTTTGCAAACAATTTTTTTTTTAAATAATAGAAATTAAAAATACTTTTAATGACTAGGGAGCTAAAATGTTTCAGTGTAAGGCAGGGCACCCAATGTTGTTTTCTAAGGAAGGATTCTTGTTCCTTAATGGAAGAAACTCTGTTTTCTCACTCAATAACAGAATGAGCTCTAAATCTCGAAGGAACTTTTTCAGAGATTATTTAGCATGACCCTCTTATTTTACAAATAGGGAAACTGAAGCCCAGAGAGAGTATGTGATACTCAAGCTATGGTTCAGTGACTCTTAGGTCAACGTTCTTCAATTACACCTTACCATCTTTGCATGTTTTGTTTTACCTTTGGATGTTTTGTTGTGTTTCCCTGTCCTGGTAGACCTAAATCTTTACTAATAATGAGAATTAACAAGATTGCCCAAAAGCATTGTATTGCTGGTACCAAAACTTTAACTATAACAAAAGTCAGACTATTCAATTTAACTTCAGTTTTCCTTTTGAATCAAAGTCAAAAGACTTTTCCTCTCAACACTCCCTTTACCTTGAAGGCTTGGAGAGTTCTATTGTCTGGTTAGGTCATGCTCCCTTCTCCCACCCAGCTTTGAGCTCCTCCTTTATCCCTGTTCTTCCATAATTCTCTGTAACCCTACAATAACCTTCCTCTTGTCAACCAACAGCTCATTTCCCCTCTGACCTTCTAGATCTATATACAAAGAAATGCCTTAACATAGACTGCTAGGATGTGACTCTTCTAGAACTCAGAATGTATCCTTTTCGGCCACTTTTTTCTCGGTCAAGCCAGAGTTCCTTATAACCCTGTTGGTAGAGGACCATGCTGGCCCTGCTTTTCTCAACTAGAGCTCTGTCCAGTGGCCTTCCTTGCCCAGAAGTGAGTTTGCAACACCCACGCACAGTAAACCCAAGGTTTTTTCTGTTTGAGGCATTTATGTTTCCGGTAATGCTAAGCAAAATCTTTCCGTAATAAAATGCCCAAGGGAAAAGTTTTGGTGTCACTGCTGGTCAAAATTGTCAGAGGAGGTTATACAGATTTAGGAAGTCAGATTATTGTCACCTAGAGAGGTTAATTTTTCAGTGCTCTTTATTTAACTCTTAAAGGATACGAAAGGGTTTATGTTTATATTTTATCCTGTATATCTGGTCTCCTCTTCCTGCCTTCCCTTAATTTTAAAGAGGAAATGCAAAGATTTTTCCCCCTTTGCATAATTCCCACCTGATGAGTTTCTATTGTCAGTAGGCCCACAAAGACTAAAACTTGCAATCTCAAGGTAAGAATTTTATATTGAGATGTTTATCCATTTGCATTTTTTAGAGAGTTGGTATTTATTGTTTTTTGTATACATGTGTGTGGGGAGAGAAAGGGGGAAGGTCATTCCTTATCTCCCAAGGGTTTCACAACACTGGTGCTCCGCTACTGCTAACCAGAACAGAGGAGACCAGCTAGGCCTGCTGGAGTTACTGCTTGGAGTTTGAGTCATGGTAGGGCTCTCTTGGAAGGGGTATTTGTGTGTGTATGGTTATTATTACTCTTACACTTTTTTAGAGAGAAGATTGAGAAAAGAAAAGGGATTGGTGTGGTGTTCTCACGCTATATTTAGTCCAGAGCTATGGGGTGGAGCACTCCCAGTGTGGAAATGCCTTCTACTTATGCAGATAGATTTGCCTGGAGTATTGAGAGGTTAAATGTCCAGATTCTCACAGCCAGCCTGAAGCAGGCGTAAGAACTGAATCCGAGTCTTTCTGACTGCAAGGCCAGCTTTCCAGGCAATACGTCACATACCTCTGGTGAGAGCAGCATCACCACGTAATTGTATATACATATTCCTTTCCCACTCTCATCTTTCCTTCCCACCGCCACTTAGCAGTTAATATCTGTGATTAGCAGTTAACTAAAATGGAGCTACCTTTTCCCCATAGGATCAAAATTCTAGGGAACCTCAAAGACTTATCTAGTCCAACCCACTCATTTTATAAATGATAAAACCGAGGCCAGGTTGGCTAAGTGACCAAGCATTAGATGTAATAGGATTTGAACCCAAGCCCTCTGACAGTTCTCTTAACACTATACCACAAGCTTGTACTTAACTACATCGCTGTTGCCAAAATGGCACCTAATAGCTCAACTCGTTAGTTATTATTACCTTCATTTTTAAGGACAGTGTAGGTGGTTTCCATTCCAGCATGAATGTGGTCAGCCACGTGACAGTGGAGTAGCCAAGTTCCAGGCACATTTGGACGCATTTCTATCGTTTGGAATGTACCAGGGAAGAGGTCAAAGACATCTGAGCGATAAACTCCTCCAAGCTTAATCAGAAGAAGAAAAATGAAAACACAATACAGCTTTACCTATGAGAGAATTTGGCATCCAGTAAAATTGCTGAAACCCATCTTAGTGACTAGCTGTGTGGCATTAATTTTAGCAGGCATAGTAAAAAACGGACAGATTCGAATTGGTTGGGATCTGCATTTGTAGGAGGACGTATACGCATTGATGAGATCTCAGATAATCAAGAAGCATTTTTTAAGCACCTGCTATGCGCCAGGTACTATACTAGGTGAACACAGAGAGAAACAGTTGCTGCCCTCTCAGAACTTATGTTCTGGGGTGAAACAACATGCATATAGACAAGTAACCTGAGCCATTGGAATTTCAAGGTAGTTCATCATCAAAGCCTTTGGGCACATGTATAGAAATAACTTCTAACCTGAGTATAAAGATATGCTTTCTAATGTATAGAAGGAGTAGAATATAATGATGGATAATGGAATCCGTTGCTATCTACTGTCCTCCTTTCTCTCCTTATGTTTCCTTAACCCATACCCTAAAGGGTCAGGGTGGTGCTAGTCTCATCTGAGACCACAATTTTGTTTGCCCATGCTCCTTTGCTGACTCTATGCCCTTTTAAAACATATACTGGGAGAAAGAGTGCCTGGATTGGGGCAAGGAGATAAAACAGGCAGAGAATGAGGTTCCGGAAGGGTCCCAAATGGGGTTAGTGTAGGTGGGGTCAGAGTTGGAAGCAGAGTGGTTGTAGGTGTTTCAGGGAATGGTTCAAATAAATTCAGATGGAGGTGTTGACTATTTTTTAAGATTAGGTCAGGGCTTAGAAGTGGGAGTGC